GGCAGGGGTGGGGCATGTACGCGGCGCTGCTGACGGAGCTGTTCAAGTTCCTGGCGCCGTTCCTGCGCAACACGGAGCTGGGCGCGCCCGTGGCCCGCCTGTACCGCGGCACGCTGCGGGTGCTGCTCGTGCTGCTGCACGACTTCCCCGAGTTCCTCTGCGACCACTACTACGACTTTTGCGACGAGATCCCGCCCAACTGCATCCAGATGCGCAACCTCATCCTGTCCGCGTTCCCGCGCACCATGCGCCTGCCCGACCCCTTCACCCCCAACCTCAAGGTGGACCTGCTGCCCGAGATCGCGCTGCCGCCGCGCTCCGCCCGCGACCTCGCCGCGCTGCTGCCGCCCTCGCGCCCTCGTCTCCGCCTCAGCCTCGACGCCTACCTGGACACGCGCGCGCCCGCCGCCTTCCCGGCCGAGCTGCGCGCCCACCTGCACGCCGACCTGCACGCGGACGAGGGCGTGGGCGCGGCCGAGGGCGAGGGCGCGGCGCGGCGCTACGAGCCGCGGCTGGTGAACGCGGTGGTGGCGTACGTGGGCGCCCGCGCCGTGGCCGCGCTGGGGGCGCGCGGGCTGGCGCCCACGCTGGGCACGGTGGCGCACTCGGCGCACATGGACATCTTCCACAGCTTCATCGTGGACTTCGACTACGAGGGACGGTGAGTCTTATCCTCCGGTCATCTTGTTGCTTCGTGTTGTCGGAATGTTAATATTAAAAGCTGAGACGAGTGGTGCGAGTACAAGGAGCGATGCGTGTGTCGGCAGCTACCTGTTCCTGAACGCGGTGGGGGACCAGCTGCGCTACCCCAACAGCCACACGCACTACTTCAGCTGCTGCCTGCTGCACCTGTGGGGGGTGGCGGGCGCGGCTGCGCGGGAGCAGGTGACGCGGCTGCTGCTGGAGCGGCTGGTGGTGAACCGGCCGCACCCCTGGGGCCTGCTCGTCACCTTCATAGAGCTCATCAAGAACCCGGTCTACGACTTCTGGTCGCACGACTTCGTCCGCTGCGCGCCCGAGATTGAAAAGTGAGTTTGCCCGAGCGCGTGCCCTTCTCCTTGTGTCCCGTCCCTCTCACCACCGACACTCACCGCGACACCGACCGCGCTGTATTAAATAAAACTGTAAGACTAAAGGAAATAATAAGTGAGCACGTGTACATCGCGCCGTGTGTTGTTGCGGCGGCTGCTAACGTCGTGTTGTGCGCTTGTGCAGGTTGTTCGCGTCCGTGGCGCGGTCGTGCGTGGCCGAGCCCCCCGCGCCCCCC